AATCCCAGCAATTGGGAGGCTGAGGTAGGAGGATCACTTAGAGTTCAAGGCTAGCCTGGGCTATATAGTGTATATAGTGAGTTCTTGGCCAGCCTGAACTATGTAATGAGACCTTGTCTCGAAAAAAAATTTAAAAACAGTATATATAGGACTTGGTATTATCCTTGGTTATAGACATCCGCTGGGATCTTAACACATATCCCCCACAAGTAACTAGGGTTCATTTCTTGTAAGGCACATTTAATCACAATGAATTCTTTTGTCTTCCTAGGTATGTTTTTTTCACTTTCATTATTGAAGGGTTATTTTGCTGGATATAGAATTTTTGGTTGGAGTTTTCTTTTTAGCCCAATGTGTGTGTCTACTTTATTCTGACCTTTATTTCTGATGAAAAATCATTGTGTCATTCATGTACAGTATATATCTTTTCTGTTGCTGCTTTCAAGATTTTCTCTATGTATATGTCCACACTGTACATTTAGGCATCAATCTCCTTACATTTATTTGACTTTGCCAAGCTTTCTGCATATGTAGGTTGAATTTTTTTAAAAAATCAAGTCTGAAAATTTTAGGCCATTATCTCTTCAAAAGCACTGCCTGTTCTCCCCATTTCAAATGTGCATTTGCTTTTTTTGGCTCTCAGGGCTCTGATGCTGTTTCTATTTCTTCCACTTTTATGCTTGCTCTTTTTTAGATAGACTATTTACTGTTGATCTATCTTCAGGTTCCCTGATTCTCTGTTGCCCATTTAGTGAGTTCTTCTTGTTGCTTATTTTACTTTTCAACTTTCAAATTTTCATTTGACTTTGTAAAAGTCTTTTTTGGTCATATTTTTGTCCAATTTTATTAACACGATTTCTTAGTTTTTGAGTTTATTTGCAAATTACTACTTTGCTAAAGCCAGTATTTGGTGACAATAAAGATAGCTTTTATTGATTACTTTTTTTCTGAGAAGGGATTGAATTTTCACTTTGAAAATCTGGTAATCACTGATGCTAATACAAGCTTTCCAATGTGTGATCAGTATCTACTGTTTAAAAATGTTATTTTATATGGTGACATATACGCTCACCTATTACATATTAAATATACATATATGTATATATTTATATATAATATATAGAACAGAAAGATAAACTATAAGTATTAACTATCAGATGATTTTATTATATTGCCTAGGTTATTTATAGCCCTATTTACATTTATAGCCCTATTTACATTTGTCTCGACTGAAAAGTTTCTTGGACTAAAACCTCCAAATGATCCCTTTAATTTCTCATCGTCTATTTTGTGAATGTGAGTTGTAGTATTTGGTGCAAAACCATTTATAAAAATTTATAAGAATATTGAATTGGGTTAACATTACACACGTAATGACTTTTGGCCTAAATTTCACGTTGTCTGGTAGAAAATTACTCTGCTGCTTTCTTTTGAGTCATTGAGTTTAGGTGTTCCCTAAGACCTAAGGCAGTTTCACTTTTGTTGTTGAGACAGGGTCTCATTAACATAGTCTAAGCTGAGTTTAAACTCTCTTATTTAGCTTAGGCTGGCCTGAAACCCATGATGTTCCTGCTTCTGTCTCCCAAATACTGGGTAGCACCACATCTGACATAGCTAAATTGTGTTTTGCTCTGTGAACAGTGTCAAAGCTTCCTTGGAGTAGACAGGAAGTACATGTACATTTATTGGTAGGATTATTTGGTCTTAACTTGTTTTGTATTTTCTATGTATATTGTGATGGATTTTTTTTCCTTCTCTGTGGTATTTTTACTATTTTTTATTTATTTTTGGTACCGGGGATTGAACTCGGGTTCTTACACTTGCAAGGCAGGCCACCGAACTGCTGAGCTAAATCCCCGGCCCCTCTCTGTGGTATTTTAAAAATAATTTAGGAAGGTTTGAGATTTTGTTCTAATTAAAATCAACTCCCTAACAATGTTTTTTTCTTAATTTTCAAGAATTTCCTTTTGCTTCTCTTTGATGTCTTCATATTCCACCTATTAGCTGAATTAAGTCAGCTGTGGTTTTCTGCCTTCCCTCTTCTATCTGCCAGTAATTAGCATCATTTCTTCTTTGTCAAATTAGGTATCATTTACACATTAACTCTCCATTGTTCTTTCACTTGTTTTATATCTAATTATTCATTGTTCAACAGCTCTTTGGTGAAATCTCTTGATATTTCCTAGCAGATTCTTCACTGAGCACCATGTTTACACTGTTGTCCTGTAACTTTGTTGCTTGAAATATTCCTTTTCTTGAAAATACTTGATTCACTTTTTTTCTATTGCATTTCTGGAAAACACTCCACTTGTTTTCCTCATATGCTGCTGTTGAGATGACTTTGTTTCAATAATCCTCCAACTGCCCACATGGTTCTAGAGCTGGACCAGGCAGGTGTGGGATATGGGTGTTTTTATTTGATGTTGTTATTAGTTTTGTTGTTGTTGTTGTTTTTTTGGTGGTGGTGGTGATGGGGAAGATACTTGGATTTATGTGGTCACACTTTTTCTTGGACATATCTACTTCTGGACCAAGGAAGGATCTACTTCCACCAGGAAGGATGTATCAAGCTCACACATTAGATATTTTCTTATTTCATAATTTAAAAGTGTACTTTTTCTACCTATCATATCTCTGATTTTGAAGTCTCTTACAACTAGTGGCTTACTACACGAGTCATTTCCTTTACAAGAACATAAACAGTGCAGAAGGTAGAATTAGTGAAGTTCCAAATTTGACGAAAAGATGGGCCTCAAGCTCTACTTTTCGAGTTGGAATCTAGCTATAGATGATTTTAAAAAGGGGAGCAGTTATGAAGTTCCCTTTTCTCTGTTGGGCAACTGTGTTGAGTGGAAATAGGTTGCAAATGGTTTCTGTACCATTTTCAAGCTTTTCTTTGGCGCTGAGGATCAAATTTAGGACTTTGTGCTTGCAAGGCAGGCAGCACTACAGAGCTAAATCCCGTCTAAGCCATTCCCTTCTAAAATGCAAAATCACTGATGAGACATGTTGAGTCCTATCACTTTGTAAAAAAAAAAATTTGTAACCTGATTCAGATGTGAAGCATTATGCCTTAGTTTGATCCAATGTTCCTAGCAGCACATGCCTTTTGTGATGTTTCTGGATTCCAGTCAAATTTTTATACAAAGAAACTATCTTTGGTTCTTTTTAAAATGTTGGTGCATGTTACGATTTATGTCTAGATGTCCCCTCAAAGCCTCATGCAGTCAGGTGTTTTTTCAAAGGTGGCTGAATCTAGAGTGTGACTGATTCACAGTGCAATGCTAGGCTCAAGGCACTAGGATTAAGGGTGTGAGTGCTACCCACCCTACATCTGGATAAAAGGGGCAGAAAGATGCTGCTAGGGCCCCTTGTTGCTTTGCCACTGTCAGTCCACCATGAACTATTGTTCCTTGCTTGCTTTTGCCTGCCTGCTTGCTGTGGGATTATTTTCTCCTCCGTGATGCCGCTGTGCCTATGTGAACGATGAGCTAAAAAACCTTCCCTCCTTTCACTTTGGGCACTGGGTATTTTGTCTCAGTAAAAAGTAACTAAAACAATTTGTTATCAAGGGAAGTAGGGGTCATTGCTGTGACTATACCTGACCACATGAGTTAGGAGCCTTTGGGACTGGCTTGTGGGAAGTTTGGAAAGGTTCAGAGATGCTGGCTGAAAAAGCCAGATGCTAGTTGGAACGCTTGAGGATGTAATTGATGGGAGATTCTGGTCACTGCTCAGAAGATTACAGTGTTGACTGAAATTCTGTGGTTAAAGACCAGGCTAAAGATGTTTCTGCTGGGAAAAAGGACTGTTGGACTCCAGATGATGTGTATTATGGCTTGGTAGAAAGTTTGTCTGCATTTTTCTTGTGTCCAAAGACTTTGCCTAAGACTAAGATTAAGGGTGACAGATTTATTAATCTGGCAGAAGAAATTTTAGGGTAGTCTAATGGTTAATCCACTGAAGTCAGAGTCTTCATGATCCAATCATCTTCCCAAAGCCTCACCTCTGAGTATCACTGCTGCATTAGGATGAGTCTACAACATAAGCCTTTGGGGACCATTTCAGGTTCCAGCCATAACAGATATAGAGAAAGGAACTGAGAAATGATTTCCTGAAATAAAACAAAAGCACATGCATTACAGAATTTTGCTGTAAGTTTGCAAAAAGTTTTAAAATTAAGAGATTATTCTGTTGAACACTACTTATACAAACAGACTGATCATCAGGAATGTAGGTTTATTTCATTAAGACAAAACATTCACTCAGACAGTATTGTATCCGTTAAAGCAGCAGCAATCACAAGGCACATTTGTATGAAATCCCTCAAGCAAAATAGAAATTAAACATTAAAAAATAATGTATCACTTAGATATTGAAGACCAGTTGTTAATATGAACATAGATTATAAAATGATATTTGTTTTACAATTTTATTCTTTTACCTTTTAAATAAGAGAAGGAAGATTAAATTAATATTTATGTACTATTTTATGGTACATATTACAAACCTTTATATCACTTAACTTGGTTTGCTAAAGAAAAAACAGCAATAGTACAGCTTAAAATTTTATTTTTAAAGCTTTCACATCTTTATTAGATATGTGGAACTCATAAATGAAAAAGTTCTCATTTTTCTTAGTTTATAAAAAGCCTGTAGTTTTAGGTCCCTAGCAAAACCAATATACAAAAAAAAGAAGCACATTTGAGACATTTTATAATATCTAGGACATGATTTATAGTTTTGGATCAACACAATAACTCTCTTTGTTTAACAAATTAGAAGACAAAACATAATAAATATAAAGGTCAATATTTGTATTAAAATAAAAGTGATTTAAATTATTGCTCATTTAGGAAATAGAACAAATATTCTCATTAGGGATGCTCAGATTAGAAATGTTATCATATCAGTATCTAGTGTATATAAAATTCTGGGGTCCAAATATAATGAAATTTATGATAATTACACAAAAACGTTCCTGTGCATGTTAGCCACCATTTAGCTTTACATGATGAAGAATGGAAAATGTGGTTGGATTACATCTTCAGTAGCAAACTGTGTATCAGATATAAAGTGTTTCTGTTAACATTAACTACTGTAAAGTCTTTTTTATGAAATATTAAGGTATGCTTATAGTCATTACCACACAAGGGAGAGAAGAGAAACTAAAGCTCTAGGTTTTAAACAAGAATAATATAAAAGATTATACTATAATAAAACCGTTATAGCACTAAATAGCAAATTAAATACTAAATTAGGTGTTATCATTAGTCTTCCTTGTAGAAAAATCATTTCCTGGGCTTTTTGATGTATTTCCTTGTAAAAATAATGACCATCTACCCCTTTCTCAGTCACACATTTGGTCTATTTCCATATTGCCTGGTAACAATCCCACCAGACAACACTGAGTTCTCCTGAGGTATCTCCAAGGAGTCCATCTGCATGTTCATGGCAGGGGCTACTGGGTGCTGGGTTCAGCCTACAGCAGGATAGTCTGTGCTACTTCCTTGATGGTGGATGCGGCTCTCTCCAGCTCTTCCTTTGACTGTTCCACTGTGACCACAACTCTGATGCTGAAATGACAAAGGACATCAAAAAAATCAAATGAGAGCCTATAACAAAGGTCAGCCACCTATGACCAGGGAGCTAAATCCAGCAGTCACTGCCATTTGTTTAAGTAATAATCTGCTGTTACTTACCTCATTCACTACCTCCTGTTTACAGCTACAGTACATTCTCATTACCATGGCAGAGGTGAACAGCTGTGACAAGTACTTGAGGACCTGTAAGCCTAACACGCTTACTGTCTGGGCAATGACAGACATAGCTGGCTTCTGGCTTATGCCTCAGTGTGTATATATATTCAAGGTGACCTGCTAAAGGTTCTGCTGTGGAGGCCAGGAACTGTGTCAGTCAATAATCAACTGTTGAAAGCAGCACTAGGCACAGAGGAGGAACCCAATATTTTTCAAACTGATGAGTGGTTGTTCTTCATATTCAAAATTCAATCAGAAATGAAGGATGTTTGCCAATACTTTGAGGCAAGGCAAAACATTGTCAAGTTTTCAGGAACTTAAATGAGTGTGTCATGTACTGTTAAAAACACTGTAATTCCAGCACCTTTGGAGGATGAAGTAACAGCATAGCCTGGGCAACTAAGTGATCAGTGAGATCCTGTATGCAAAACAAATAATGGCTGGAGATACTGCTTGCTTAGTGAGAAGGCCTGGGGTTCAATCCAAAGCACCCTCCACCTCAACAAAAGAAATGGGCTTCACCATCCTTTGTAAACATCAGTAGACATATTTACTGAGTATACTTGCGTGTGGAGCACCAAAGCTACCAACAAGCTTGACTCCTTCTTGAATGAGCATTTTCACTGGCAAATATATACGGGCTTGGGTATCTAGGTGAGTGTGGTAAAAACTGAGAGGGGCAGAGCTTCGAGCTGCTGCCTGAATGGGCCTGCTACACCAGCCTGGCTGCCTGCAACTGCAGGGCATTCAGACTCTTTAGGGTTTTCCTGTGCCTCCCAGCCCCTCTGCAGCTTATGCTGTGAGCTTGAAGATGTATCTGGGGGTTTCTGTGCTATGGAAACCTTATACCACTCATCTGCTGAAGGGCTACCAAGTGCCAGATGGACACAGGCACATACACTCCTGAACTCACAACAAAGCCATCCTTTGCTGACATTGCTCCTAATCTATCAAACTCACTGTGGTGTCTATTCTCCTTTAAATGTGCTCAGAACACTTACATTAGTCTAGAGATGGGAAAAAGCACCTTACACAAAACCTATTTTATAAAAGTGTTGAATATTTTGTGCAACTTACTATATACTGTCCCGAAAGTGCAAAACAAAATGCTGTGTGGATGTGCTTTCACACCACGGTAAATGTGCAATTCTAAGAGGAACTGTTGAAAGCTGGAGATGTCTGAGCTCATTTCTTCAGCCACAGGGTATCATTTGCTTTCAGAAACCTTAGTGACATCTCAGGACAGAGCTGACTGTGAGTCTTTTTGTGATCTGACCCAGAGCTATGGCTTGAGTGTCTTTTTCCCCATCTTTAACTGTGGATATGTGTACAGGCTGTGGAACCTCCCCACTTTCGCTTTGCTTTCCCAAAGTGTCCTGGTGTCTAATGGGTGAAGTACATATGCACTCTGACCAAAATTGCGATCCTTCCTGGCAGGACTCTTTGTGGCTGGAGCTGTGGGCACAGCAGAGGCTGCCCTTGGACATAGTTAGATATTAGCTGGCTGGAACCTGTTTGCCCAACTTCATTCTTGGGAGAACCCACAAATTTCTCTGTTAACTGGGAAGATATTTAGTCTTGGGTCTTAAAGGTATTTTTCAGTTAAAATTTCAAAACATTTGCTTTGAGAACTTGTAGTGTGCTGTATTTTAAGGACATTCTTCCTTGTCTTGTTAGTCACTCAGAAATTTTCAAAACAATATATTTATGCAGTTTAAAGGAGAGAAGAAAAGTGAGGTCCTATTTTAATGTCAACCAACCTTGGAGCGGGGAGGCATTTCTCTTCTTTCTCCAAGTAGCGTGCCTGAGTTAATGCAATACTTTTGTTCATGCACTGTAGGGAGAAAAAGGAAAACATTAGCAGCCCAGACTTCCAGACTCTGGTCTTTAAAACAGGAAGGTACCTGGAAAGCCCTTCATCAGTGGTTAATTTCAATTATAACTGCTAGGAGACAAAACTGAAATACCACAACTTTATCTTAAGCAGCACTCACTCTCCACAGAGCTTTCTGCAACAATGGAAGCTTTCTGCTCATGATGCAGAATCTGACATGTCACCATGAGCTTGTGTGACTCCCAAGCACTAGGCTGTATGTCTAAGTTTACACACTTTTACTCAGTGTGAGTTTCCATAGCCATAGGCAGCTGGGGGCTTCCATTCATAGAAAAGTGAGTTCCAACCCAGGGAAGTAGTATGAGTCAATCTCTAAAGGACAACTAAGAGCCAGGCTTGAGAACACAGCAGGACTATGTCAGGGAGAAAGAGCTGTGCTTCAAATATACACAGAAATGACTACGTCCTTATCTTCCATTTGGGCAAGGTGCTACAAGGCACTGTAAAGTCTAGTGTTAATACAGCTTTTGCACAGCTTACTTGTATATCACCTGTCAAGAATTCTTTTGTTTCTTAAGTTAAAATATTCTCTATTAAGACAAAGAAAGCACAAAAACTACAGTGAATATGTTACAAGGGTTTCCTTTTGCAGCAATAGAAACATCTGCAGTTAAACAATAATGGCTGAAGGACTTTGTGAACAGACTTGTGTACTTCCAAAGGAGTGAATTTTACAGAGCAAGGGCGAGGTAGTATAAAGAAAAGAGCATTCCAAATGACTGGAAGTAAAATTATCTGCCTGAAGAAGGACCATGCTGTCAGCTGTGAGGGAGGGATGGTACAGTCTCTTGCTGAGTCCTCTCTCAGAAGTACACCTGGTGGCCTGAGACCTCACGACATCTGGCTTGGCTCTATCTGGCCTTAGCCAGGTAACAGACAGTCCAAACCAGAGCTTAGTTTGTGAAAACAGTATCCTATTGAGCAACTCAACATAAACTTGGCAAAGCTCTTGGTTCTACAAAGTGTAACTAGAGTTGCTGTAATTCTTCTTCCTCCAAATAAAAAAAATGGAAGGACAAGACATTAAGGATTTTGAAGATGGACACAAGGATGATACAAAGAAGTTGTAAGACCTTTCTGTTTTCTTCCTATAAATGCAGTTTCCAGACAATATTTTGTTCCCTGTCCTAGATATTCTCACTCAACGCTCAATTCCCTAAGATAGCCAGCATCACACAGTGGCCTACATATAGATACTTGGGATCTGGGAGTTGCCACGGATATTCATCTGCTCTTTTGGTTCTGTGGATAACCTGTATAAGCATAATGTGTTGATGTCAAGTCATCTTGTGCACAAGAGCCCCCCTGTCTGTCTTTGGAACAAATCACTTTAACTACTGTGACTGAGGGATTCAACACAAGCACACACGGCTCACCAAGGCCATTCTGTGGCTGTAGGCTTCAGTTCTGCAAATGAGTGCAATTCTGTTGAAAACACCAAACTCACCTGTCACATGAATGTTTCATGTGGAGTTTGATGTCTACTGTCTTGTCTGTTTGGTTTGCATTGAATCTAAATTGTTTTGGTTTTACTGTTATCTAAGAACTTGAGTCACAACTTACTTCTGTGTCTGTTTATATTTAAGTATATTTATATTACCGTAAAAACACCAGGGCAGTCAAGAGGGCAGTGGGATACTTCTCTTCTGTAATGGAGCTTCTGTTTCCACAGGCCTGCAGAGCTGAACTTGAGGGGATATCCAGCAAGCGAAGACCAGCCAACCTGACCATTCACACTCTGAGAACATTTCTTAATCAGGAATCTCAGATGCTGGCTCTGTTTTTATTTTTGTTTTTTTAATACAACTGACCCCATAGGGACACATACTGTGTGCAGTCCTCCGTGAACACATCATTCCAGATTATGTAGTTAGGACACTACAGGATGGAGGACAGCCAAGGGAGCTGTGCAGCCACAGTGGCCCTCACAGCTCGGCCTGCATACTGAGCAGCTATAAGATCAACAAGCACCTGCCTAAGATATCACAGAGATAGAGAGAGCCTGGTATTGGACCTGGCCCAGAAAAAGGCAAATGATAGGTGGCAGCCACCAGAGACTCAAGATGACCAGCAGCACTACCTCAGGGCAGGAATTTGGGGATGGAACTTCAGCAGGACAAAGAAATAGAATGCAACCTATTGTTATCCTCAAAGGCATACCACAGCAGGTGTGGTGGTACACACCTGTAACCTCAGCACTCTGGGAGCTGAGGCTGGAGGACTGCAAGTTTGAGTCCAGCCTAAGCAACCCAGTGACTTAGAAAGACTGTCTCAAAATAAAAAATAAAAGGGCTGGGCATATAGCTCAGTGCAAAGCACCCTCCCCACCAAGATGCTCAGTACCTCAGGCCCTCCTTACCAGGAGGAGGAGACATAGCAAAGGAAGGAGGGAGACTGTGGAGAGGTAAACACCTTTCCCGTGTTAAGCATGTCATAGGGTATTCCTTCTTTCTTCTTTAATTACAGTAGCATATGATTTCTGAATGACAATTAATGGTTGTGGCCAAGCTGTGTTGGGGGCTCACTCATGTCAGCAGATGTCCTGCCGTGTGAGCTGAACAAATATGCCTCCCCTGTTGCATGTCTCAGAGCTTGGCTGTGCAAACAAGTGAGTTGTTTACATGGCTAACTACTGCTTGATGGGAAGTACATCTAAATGTGGTGTAGCCCTGAACACAGCTACTTTGGTTTAAGTGGAATTGGCCCCACGGGAGGGAACCCCCCAAGCCTGTCCCTACAGCACCTTCTGAACCATGCAGAGGCAATGAGGAAGGGGCAACGGTATCAGAACAGGCCTACATAATGAGGGTGGTGACCAGCAACTGTCATCCTAACCTATCTCTTGGGCAAAGGCATCTTTCTGAAAAATGACATGAAAAAACTGCTACGGGTGTGGGAGGAAGAGGTGTGGAGAGGTTCACTTGAGTAAATGAATGCTTACCTCATTTATGATTGCCTGAAGTAGTTTCACATCTGTCTCTCGAGACCCAGTACTGTCTTCCAGTTGTAGGTGAAATGCTGGAGAAAATGACTCCCCCACTACTTTCAATCCGGAAATGCTGAGGAAGGAAACACACACACACACACACATGAATCCTTTCCAGGCTTAAAGAATCACACACAAAAGTGATTCTGAAACAGAAGGGAGCACAACTGGTGACTGATGGGAGTGCCATGTAGTGGAATTCCAATTCTGATGGAGAGATAAACTGTACTCTGAGGGTTGCTTCCCAGGACAGGAAAATGGGAGCAAGGCTTCCTGCTCTTGGTAGAACACTGTGACCTTCTGCCTTCTGACTCCCATGGGAAGTCTGTATGGTTGCTCCCTGCTCCAACTGTACCCCTACCCCAGGCCTCTTTGGCCTGGGCCTTGGTCCCATCATCTCCTAGCTGATCTGCTCGGCTCTGTCCTCTGGCTCCAGTTAGGGTTGCACAGGCATGTCACTACTTCAGAGAAGAGTCTACTCCTTCAATTTCTATTATTTATCCCATTTGATTTTTTCATAGACTACTACTTATTATCTTAATCTTTGGTATGCATTTTATCTCTGAAAAATTGTAAAAGTGATTTTTGACATTAATAACATTAGGTTTAGCTCCAGAAATACATTTATATTAAAACATCTTATTAGCGTAATTTATTTTAAATTTTACTAGGATTAAGATTTTCTTCTTTCTTAGAACAGCACAAAAATCTGTCCCTTATCAGAGAGGAAGACACATTTCTTTCAAGGTAAAATATTCTGCCTTAAAATTATTTTTATAGATGTCATGAGAACTCTCTGATCTATTTAGTCAAGTTCACTTAAAGTCCATTTTATCCTACAATAAAAAAATAGTATTTGATTTTTGGCCTCTTAGAAAACAAATGGCAATACATGTCTACCTGATATTTGGCTAAACATTTTGGATTGTTTTCATTTGCTTAGAAAGGATTTATTTTTCCCTTAGAAGGAAACAGCCATAGAAATACCAGGTATTATATCTGAATTTTCCCAGCATAGGACTCCACAAGCTTTCACAGAATGACTACTACTCTGGTTTGGCTGACTGTCCTTAGGTCCCATTTGTTAGAGGCTTGGTCCCAGGGGAGCATTAATAGAGGGGCTATGGACCCTTGGGACATGCAGTGGTATGAGAGGTTCTGTCACTGAGGCATGCCCCAGAAGGGGACTATGGGACCTCGGTCTCTTTCTTTCCCTCCATTTCCTGGCTCATGAGGGGGGTGGTTTGCTCTGCCATATACTCCTGCCTTGCCAGAGGCCCAAGTAATATAGATACTCAATCAATGACTGAAACCTCCAAAATCACAAGCCAAAACAAACCTTCTATCTTTCTCAGCTAACTGCCTTTTCATATAGGGAGAGGAGGCTTTCAATGCAACTGAGGTGCCAGAACTAATTTTACAGTTTTCAAACCACTCTTGAATATTAACAATTTATGTCTCCTTTTTTAAAATTTGTGATACATCATGTCAGAAGCTCTCAATATATCAGAATGCAGGTCTGAGTCACAAAATCTTAGCATCAAGGGCATCTGGAATGTGGAGGAAACTGCTAGATGAGGCATAGGAACCTATGGCACGTGTGATATTTGTTTTTAAGATAAAAGATGTTAATGTCTGAGTTGTTTTTTCTAAACTCAAACCTCAGTATTCAGGTTAATTGGAGTGTTGGCACTTTGCAATAAATAAGTGAGTTTTGGGTTGCAGTTGGGCACTCATCTCTAGAAGATTTGCCATCATAGTTCTAGGTGTATAATAAACTAGGAAATATGCTTTCAAAACCCATTTCCTATAAGAATTTTGAATTATCAATTTTCTTAGGTCATGTTTTCTCAGAGGAAAGCTTAAAAATTTGCTTTTCAAATGAATCAAATGACCTGGCTTCTCCTGTGTTCACAGGAAGCTCTTGAAGTCCTGGACTAAGTTGCATTTAATCATATAGGCTCAGCTCCTGGTAGGCAGGGCAGGCTGGTGGGAGAAGGAATAAAACAGAGCACCGTATCCTTGATACTGGATGCTGAAAGTCACATCAATTTAACTAAAAGCAAGTAGACACAGAATTGTAGCTCAAGTTCAGAAATAGAAAAGCTGTGTTTCAGAGTCCACTATATATTCTTTAACAAAAAAGATGGCAAGTTTATCATTGTATCCAAGGTAGGCAGCTATGGCCTCCAATGTATGCACAGGGTCTCAAGGAAGCCTGACACCAATCACTACCTCCCTGTCAAAGTGGGGACTGTCAGGGTTCTGACACACAGACAACACAGCATGGGCTGTTGATATTTCCAAACCCAATCTCAGTGACGGAGATGTGAATCACTGATAATAGAAATTAAAAGAAAACTACTTAACCCTGAACACTGAAGGCACTGCTTCTGAAATTGTTTAATTATACCTATGGGAAAGTACAAAATAAAAGTAGTAAGCTAAATGTAAAAAGGAGAAGAGTAAGAACACAAAGCAATGAAATAAGAATGTATAAAAATACCTACACAAAATATACAAACACAAATATACACATACAAAAATATGTACTAAGAATATAAATAAAATATATTAACATACTTATATGATATTGATAGTATATTTATATGTAGTATATAAAAATACATATAATATAGGGCTGGGGATTTAGCTCAGTGGTTCCAGTGCCTGCCTCACAAGCGCAAGGTCCCAAGTTCAATCCCTGGTACCCCCTCCAAAAATACATAGAGCATATAAAATATAAAAATATATGAACATATACCTCAAAAGAAAAACACAAAGTGCTATGAAAAATCCTGGAAAGATTATCTTGAAAATGGAAAACAGAATACAAAAGAAAATATAAAGGGGAAACAAAGACATGAGAGATAATTACAGAGTAGTCTCAACCCCAGGCATCTCAGGCCTAGATACAATTAAAGGGTGGAGGGCCATCCAACTCTGAAGAAATGAACAATCATACCTTGCCTTATGTAATACCTCCCTGAAGTACAAAGAGTAGAAAATGAACTTGCTATAGTGGTACATGCCTATTATCCCAGTACTCTGGGAGGCTGAGGCAGAAGGACAAGTTCAAGCCCAGCCTGGGGATCTCAAGAGAGCTAGCAAGACCCTGTTTCAAAATAAAAAATTAAAAAAGGCTGATGTAGTGCAGTGCAAAGACTCTGGGTTCAATTTCCAGAACCATAAAAAAAAGGTTGAAGATGTCCAAATCAAATATTGAAGCCACCACATCATAGCAAATATTACAGGCCCATTTAAATTATAAAGATGTAAAAATTCAAATTAAAATATTAGTTAATTAAATCTAACTATACAAAACTATACTGTAATCAAGCAGGGGCTTTCTCAGGAATACAATGACAGTTTAACATTGGCTATAAATCCATATAGTTCAGCCATGAGAAAAACCTATGATCTTAATAAATATGAAAAATACTTGGTACAGTTAAAAATCCACTTAAGATTAAAAGTAAAAAGCACTGAAATCTAGGAATAACTTGGTAAAGGCCAATGACCAAAAACCTATATAATATTTTATACATAATGAAAAAAAGGTTTCTATAATGAGAATAAGATTGTCTGCTATTACTGCCACTGCTCAATAATGTGTTAGAAAGCCACACCAAAGCAATTAAAGAAAAAAATTACACACACACACACACACACACACACACACACACACAGACATGAATGAATGAATTAGGAAGGAAAGATAGAAAACTATTATTGCTGATGACTGACAAGACTTCTCTGCACATCACTGTACCTGAATAAAACAAACTACCGGAAATAATAAGAGCTGGATGTAAGGTCAGTTTAAAGCAAACAATATTCTTATAAATCATCAATGATCTAGTAAAAAATATAAAACACAACCCCATTTAAAATGGCAACAAAGCTGACAGGACAAGAAATTTCCTTCAAAGGCTCCATAAAGGCACAAGGATTTTCCAGAGAAAATATTTAAATTCCACTGAAGAACAGAGGAGCTGGGATATAGCTCAGTTATAGAGTGCTTGCCTATTATACATGAAACCTTGGGCTGGATTCCCAGAACTACACAAATAACAACAACAACAACAACAACAACAACAACAACGATCACCACTACCACCACAACCCTCACCCCCAAAAACCACAAAAGGAAATTAAAATAGATCATGTTCTTGGGTGATAACTCCTTCCACGTTAACACAATCAGAGAACTTAAATTTCAATTAGAATTCTAGTAACAATTTTGAAGGAACCTGTATGTATTTCAAAACCAACACAGACATAAAAGCAAGTATTATAACAGAGTTTTGGAGGTCTGCACAAATAATACAGGCACCAGTGATATGGAAGAGATGGTTCAGAAACAGGCCATGTACAGAAGAGAAAGTGGCAGTGATGGAGACAGGCCAACAGAAGAGTGTATGTAGCCTGTGGATGTTATTGCACATTGATCTTTTTTATTTTCTTTTTTATTTTAATTTCTTCCACTAGCCACCACTCCATTTCTCTGTTCCTCTTTATGGAAACCCCTCAAAAGAGTTATCTAAGCTCTGCCCAATTCTCCTCCTCAGCTCTCTCCAGCCCACTTTGATCAAGTACTCTGTCCCTCCCGATCCCCTGCAAGTGCTCTAGTCACAATAAGCTCCAAACTCCAAATCAAAGGAAGGATATTTGGTTACCATGCCTGGCCCACAGGAAGCAGCACATCACATGCTAAACTATGCAACTGCCTTCTTCACCTGATGCCAGGACAATTCTGATCTATCTCTTCCTCACTGGCCACTCCTGTTCCATCTCCTTGGTTGGTTCTTGATGGCTCCACATTAAAATGCTTTAAATACAATCTATGTGACTCAAAAAGACTTTTCTCAAATTTATAACTGTATCCCCCAGCTGTGATGCCCTGGATACTAAATGGGTGTGTCCAGTTCAGCACAGTCAGCACTGACTTCCTCACCAGTGGAGTCCTTCTTAGGTCTATCCACTCCCTCACTAGCTGCTCTGATCAAAATCTTGAGTCTTTCACCCTGAATAGGAACTTCTGGCAGACCTAGCCGGCTCTCCTTCCAAAATATATCCAGAATCCAAACACTTTCACTGCTACTAGGAAGGTCAAATTTACCACCATCTTTTGCCTGCAACCATCTCCTTAATTCTCTCTTTTCTGTTCTTATTGAGGTACAATGTATCATTTCACATACCACAGAGTAATCTTTCTGAGTCTTAAAGCCAGCTGTGCCAGGCCACCTTTTTGCTCAACACCAAGCCATGGTTTTCTATCTGAGCTAAAGATCCCATCATGCTTATATGCTGGTTATCTGACCCTCACCTTCTACCAGGTTTCTCGTTTCTTTCTGCTATCACACTGGCCTCCTTGCTGCTTCGTTTGTAGTCCCATTCCACTACTCTTTGGTGTGTTTAGTATGAGGTACCTGTGAAGTCCTGCAAAGGAAGCTACTGAGTAGAGAACTGGATATGAGGCCAGAAGTCCTGATGCATGGCACAGAGCAGAGACATGAATCTGTAAGTTATCTACATATAGGGGTCACAGAACAATCTGAAGCTTTAGGTGTGGAAGAAGGCAATTTCCCAAGAAGGTAATAGGAAAAGAAGACCAACGACTAAGCCCTAAAGAGCAAGGAGTTGAAGAAAGCCTTCAAGGAGACAAAAATAAAACAATTCAAAGATGTAGAAGGAAGCCCACAAATTTAGTGTGGTAGAATCTAAAGAGGAAAAGAGTATCCCTGGTACTACAAAAATTTGGGGCCAGGGATTTAGCTCAGTGGTTCCACCGCTTGCCTTGCAAGTGCAAGGTCCTGAGTTTGATCCCCAGTATGGAAAAAAAAAGAGTAGTCCCCTATGCTGAAAAATGACTAAGACAATAATACGAACTACATTTAGCACCATGGGAATCACTGGGAACTTTCACACAGCAGTCTGGGTGAAGTATAAGGAAGCTAGATCTCAGTAAATTCTAGTGGAAGGGAGACATGAGGATGTGGAGAAAACATGTACAATTCTTGAGGACCAGTGACAAACAGAAGCAAAGAAGTGGGAAGGTTGCCAAAGAGGAATGTGGATTACGAGCAAGATGATAAAAGAAAAGTGGGTAGAGAGGATTTCAAGACTACTGAAATGACTCAGAAAAGTGGAGAACTAATGACAAAGCAAAGGTGAAAAGTAAGGGTGCTTAATCCTTAAGAAGGAAGAAGGGTTTAAGAGAGCCAGAGGATTTTTTTTTTTTTTTTTTAACTAAAGCAGAGGGAAGACTGTTCAGTTTCCTGCAGTTGTGTAGATTTTTTAGGAAAAACAAGAGAGTTTTCAAGTAACAATGAAGTGAGGCAGTCTGCTGAGCATGAGTGGAATGAAGATAGGATTAGAGATTTTAGAAGAGGTGTCAGAGCTAGTGAGGAGGAGGATGGTACTTCAGAAGGGCATCTGAGGGTGATGAATGTATGGTGACTTGGAATATTAGTATTTCACAAAGCAAGGAAAGGAAAACCAATATATCTTTTATATAAATCATGTAAAAATGTGTTACTACATTGTAGACACACTCAGAGCTGTTATCGGGAACAACTGCAATTTATCCATTTATTACTTGCCCCTTTCTTTCCCTATTTTGCAATGAAGGTAGAATTTCCAATAGTTAAGAAGCATGTTTCAGTTTAGAAAGCAAAACCAAAACGTCTCAGGCAATGGGGGATCATTTCTTAGTAGACTAGAAATTGGCCTGAAGGTATCACTAACCTCTATTTTTTTTCTTTCAATTCTAGAGGAATCTTAAAGAAATACTCTTATGTAATTAAAACAAAAAACCCACTCATTAAGATTCACTTCAATTCTACTCTTTTTTACACCTCAACAGAGATAGTAGGAACCTAATGCCATGCAATGACTTACCATCTAATTATATCCTTGTACCTGTGGTGATGTGGAGAGGTGCTCCAATGTTTACCCTCATTATTTCTTGTGGGAAGATGTTGGGTGGTTATTTTTTTCATCTACATTGCTATAATATTTTATCAGTAAGTTGTTTAATTTTTAGAAAAGCAAAGACATGATTCTTTAAAACAACAAAACAGATATGCTAATTTTACACAAAGAAAGTTGAGTGGACTAAGCTTTGGTTTCTTAGCTGCTGGGTGATTTAAACAGACCCAAGACTATCAATTTTAAACTTTTCTTAATTGTTTAAGTGTGGTATTGACAAACTTCATGTTGGCTGAAAATGAAAACTTACCCTTGTAAAGCTTTATGAATCTGTTGGCACTTCTTCTTTAATTCTGCAAAAATATCTGAATAGGAAACAATACATTTGATAGTACATTTGGAACATGTGATAATATTAACCTAAAAATATTTGTAACGTCCCAGTTCAAGTTTGTCAAATTAAAAAGAGGCAAATCTTAACACAAACTAACAGAAAGCCAGTAACTCACACTCCTCTGGGGGCCTGAACTTCATATCTGGCAATTAAGGTCTCTTCTCACTTTGCCACCCCATTTTCAGCAACATCTGGGATGGTGGTTTCCAAGAAAAATAATTGCTCTTATTCTTACCAAGATTCTATAGATAATACAGTTTAAAAATGAAAGGATACAGGTTTACTTTTAGTTTTTTATTTTAAACAACTTCTTGAAAAATCAATTGCAGCAAAGTAATTTCTAAAATATTTTCCTTTTAGTCAATGAAATCCAAGCAAAAAGTATCTGAGAGATGAGTATCAGGACAGACAGGGGTCCTAGGCCACCTAACAATAATAACCTGAATGTAAGCACATGGACATACTCATATCTTCTGATTCTTTGAATTATTATCAGTGCTGTGGATTCAGGAATGCCAGGTAAGATCTGCTGCTTCTCTTCTGTGTGAAACTTTTAAGGCAGTAATATTACAGCCAAATTCCACATTTTAAATTCTCAGGTGACTTTCTTTTTGCCCACTAAGTTGTTTGTTCACAAACTACACTTAGCTTAGTATCTATCTGATGATACAAAGGCTGATGGGGAAAACTAACAATATTTACAAAATCATACAAACCCAAAAGCATCATACTTAAAATAATTATTCAGAAAACTACAAACCAAATGACAACTAACCAAGGGAAAATGTGTAGGCCCAGCACTGGCCTGGTCCCTCCTTCTTAGGGCACCTCTGCTTATTGGAGTAGCCAACTCCAAGCACAAAACAGAAGCTCTGGCCCACACCTAGAAAGGAGGCAGGGGCAATTCCTTCACTGCCACTCTTCCATCAATGCTAGGCATGAGTAAGTGGCCCTTATCTGAAAATTTTTTTCCCTCATTGAGTTTATGGGTACATTTTAGGTATACAGTACAGTTACATTCATTATTGGGATCTTGTACCTTTACATGACAGGTCTTGGTTCTCATTTTTTTCCCTTTCCCTGCCCTCCCTTCACCCCCTCCTCTCCTCCCCCTTTACAAACATTTCACTTCTGTTTTTTCATTTTCTCATATTTTTTTCTTTTCCCTTATTAGCTTTCCCCTACCCTTCCCACTTTCCCTACATCTTTAGCCCCTTTCTTCCTATTTCACATTGTTAATTTCTTATCTGAAATGTTGAGGACCAGGAACATTTCAGGTTTCAGGATTGCTAACCATGTAACATCTGCATAGACCTTACAGGTTGAGCTTTCCTATCTAAAAATCTAAAATACGAAATGTGCCTATGCTCAAGAAAGTTTTGGAGTTTGCAGCATTTTGGATTTCTGTATTAGGGAAGATGAACTTGTAATTCAGAGCCAGAGTTTTCGTCTGGTTTCGCTCTGGCTAACGCCTCCAAAAAGCAAGTCAGAAACACGGATAACAAAACCTGAGTTTAAAAGGTTATACCTGGATTCTCTTCCATGATGTTGAGGGCCTCAATGGCGGCAGCAGCTAACAGAGGAGGTAAAGAAGCTGAAAAGCAGTAGCCCTGGCCAGAGAGTCGCTGAGAAAAAACAAGAAACATAAACTGTACATTCTTTGTCTTTCTGGGTAAATCATTCCAATGGCCAAATCTCTACAGTATCCACTGAAGTGTGCACACATGGGAGGGGTAAGAGCCAGCCAAGAGTAAATGTTACACAGGTAACAAAAACAAGACTTATGAGAAAGGTAATTTCTAAAGATAAAGATTTTGAGTGTTCTTCATTTGTTATTTTAATTAGTACATGTGTATAGTACATTTACAATTTTTGTGGGAAGTTGGCACACATACATATATAACATACGAATTCCTTTTTTATCTCCCTCCCCTTCCTTCCTATCTCTTGATCCTTCTCTTTTTCTTTTGGTGTAATACATCCTTATTTCTTTTTTTATCCCCTTTTCTTTCTCTTCCACCATCTCTTGAGTCCCTTCCTCTTTGAGAAAGTTCTCTCTACCTCCTATAATCTTTTATTTTGCTCTTTAGTGTTACTCAGGATTTCTCACATAGGAGAAACCAGGCATAATTTAAACTTGTGCATCTGATGGTCTCAAGATGCATCCATTTTCCTACAAATGACTCAAGTTTATCTTCCTTTCTTCTTTTTCTTTTCTGGCACTGGGGATTGAACTCAGGACCTTGTGTGTGACAGACAGGCAACACACCACTGAGATACATCCCTGACCCAAATTTATCTTTCTTTATGGCAAAGTAGTACTCCACTGTGTAAAAACACATATTCTTTATCCATTTATTTGGAGGTGGACATATAGACCATTTCCAAGACTTAGCTATTATGACTTCTACTGCTGGAAACATAAATGTTCATGTATTCCTGTAAAATGAATGTCTTTAATTCTTTTGGGAAGATATCTAACAGAGAAATAGCTGGGTTGAATGCAATTTTCAGTTTTAGGTTTTTCAGGAATCTCTACACTTATTTCCATAGTTGCTCCACTAGTTTACATTCCATCAAGAATACAGAAGCGTTCCTTTCACCCCCGGCAGCTTCTTCAGTACTTTGTTATTTGATTTTTTAATAATGGCTTATTTATTTTCTAGGGCACGATAGAATCTCAATGTTGTTTTAATTTGCATTTCTCTAATGGGTGAATTGTTTAAAAAAAGTCTACTTCTAAGTAAAAACTGTGTGATGAACTGATAATAAAATTGTATTATTCTGAAGTGAAATAATGAGGTGACCAATAGAGCAATCAGTTTTCAACTCCGCTTGTTTTTGAAAAGGGATTACCTGGTGGTCAATTACAAAAGACCTGCCACAGCAGAAACCGCCAATGGAAGCAAGTGAGTTCTCCATGCTAGCACTGATAAGGTCAATGTCATCAATCTGCCAGAAGAGTGGGAGACAGCGATAAATATTCCTTGAGTTAAAAGGGGAAAAAAGGCAATGTGAAGCATAAAGACACAATTTCAACACCTATAATACCAGTAATATCTAGATTGAAAGGAGGATGGAATCCAAAGCTGTTTGAAAGAAAAAAAAAATAGCCAGAGGTACAAAATAAGATTATTTCCTTGCTAAAACATGGGGTAGCTGGCCTATACCATAGAATGTACTTGAGATAAATAAAAATCACCTTGGACACTGATGAATCTAACATGCTCCATGGGTTACTGAAGCTCAAAGGGTCGTCTCTGCTGTGTTTCTAAGTGTTCCACAGATCAACAAGATCTGTATTTTTCCTAAACTGTTGTACTCAAACATACAATGAACAAAGAACAGAATAAAGAATGTCCATCACCCAGATTCAACCATCATCATTAACTCAAGGACAACCATGTTTCATCTATAGCCCTCTAGTGCCCTTGCCATTTGTTTGTAGCAAACCTAAACATAATATTTCAGTCTTTATTTCTAAAAGATAGGGATCCTTAAAAATGCAATCACAAAACTATTATCACCTAAAAAAAGTCAATAATTTCTTAATATCATCAAATACTCAGTGTTCAAATATCCCTGTGTGACAAACTTTAAACATCTGCTTTAATTCGGATCCAAATAAGCTCACTACATGTTGTACTCTTACTTTTAGTCCCTACTGAATATTATCTCAGTGACAACTGCTGACAGTATTTAAAAACTAAATAGTAAACTTTCTTTTCAAAGAATTTTCATGCCTTAAAATGGCTTCACTGTCCTGCTAAATTTGCTTACATTAATTTAACTGCTCTTCAGTGCGTCTTAGATTGTGCTTCCATCTAAGTCATGTAGCATTTACTCTGCACTGTTTTTCCTCTGGGACAGTACAGGTACAAGGATGTACATAATCGAAAGGGATTTTATATTTTATAGTTCACTTTGTAACACAAAGACCTCAATGCATACATTTTGGTGAAAAAGCACCTTGAAACCACCCGTGGTGGTTGGTAAAGTCAGGTAATCTGAGACTGCCAGAATTTACTATGTTCTATGCCTCAGGGACTGCAATCCACTAGGTACCTGGACCATTCTGGTCCATTTCCTCCAGCAAAAGGACACGGCAAACTCACTCCAACTGCTTATTACAAAAATTATGTGGAATACAGAATTTTAAATATAGGGATCTTTTCACTATTTTTAATACTTTTCAAAAGACTATGATGGGAATTCTAAATTTTTTAAATAAAATATTAGGCAAAATTTAACTTGTTTTAGAAAAAAAAAAAAACAAAAACAAACAAAAACCATGAAAAGTCAAAATCCAAACACTCCATGTGAACAGAACACAAATTATAGGGGGAAAACAGGATCCTATAGTCAGTTTAGCTAGATCTGTCCTGTATTCTGCAAGGTGACAGGCATTAAAGTTTCATGACCTTCCAAAGGACACTGTCTAGTACCTATGAACATTTGGTCAGGAGAACAGAACCAAGTGTTTCCTACAGGGCCAGAGACTTCCTCAACACTGAGAACTTACACTGATTCCATAGTGCTCAGTGACTCCTCGGCCATGCTCCCCAAGAACTCCAAATGAAAGGCTTTCCTCCAGAAAGATTCTTGCTTTGTACTTGTATTTTAACTTAACCTAGGTATTAAACAAAACACAACTTTAAAGTACTGATGATTGGTAGTATACAGAGTGCATTTCAAAGAAATAAATTAAACTCGAAAATGTACAGCTGACCTTGAATTCTGTATTTATGAACTCACTTACCTGCTAAAATTTATTTGTAATCTCAAACCAACCACCATCTATCTCTACACAGCATCAGCAGAGATGTAAACATGCAACAGTGGTGCAGGATGAATGGCTGAGTTGCCTGACACATACGTTCTCAGGGTCCTTTCATGGACACTATTATGTTTTTCAGTTTTGTGCTTTTTGCTGGCAACTACCGCTTAAGATGGCCCCAGCTGAAGTGCTGTCTAGGCTTCATAGTGAAAGAAGGACATGTTGTGCCTCATGAGCAAGTGCTGAAGAAGCTCCATTTGGGCAGGCGTTTGGTGTGAACAAATCAGCAATATGTACTGAATAAGATATCTTTAATCAGAGCCACCCACAAAATAAGTTATGTACTGATTGTCTGACAGAAATATGACCAAAGGTTCACAGAAACTAAAACCTAAATTTGCCCCAGTAGCACTACTGCCTACATCAGTGTAATGGCAACTTATAGAGTATAAGTATGGTAAGAGGTGATCATCAACTGTACTTCAGATCTCTTAATATGATCCAATTTCACTTGATAACAGACAGCATAATGCCATTAAAAAAAGAAAAGGCAATGTTGGGCCAGGGATTTGGCTCAGTGGTTCCGCCACCTGCCTAGCAAGTGCAAAGGCCTGAGTTCCATCCCCAGTAAGAAAAAAAAAAAGGCAATGTTAAAACTTTTATGTGTATAGATATGTAGTACACCTGCCAAACATTGGTCTGATTATACATAAAGACCCTGGGGAAGCTGGGCATGGTGGTACACACCCAAATTCCAGAACTCTAGGAGGGTGAGGCAGGCAGATCCCATGTTCAAATCTACTTGGGCAACTTAGTCAGATCTTGTCTCAAGATAAAAAATAAAAAGGATTAGGGATGCAGCTCAGTGCAAAGGCCCTGAATTAAATCCCCAGTAACTCACACACACATACACACACACACACACACACACACACACACACACACACACAGAAAACAGTAGCAAAACCCCAGAAAACTCCTGGGGAAATGTAATTTGAATTCAAAAGGTTTTTGTCGTTGTTGTTTGGTTTTTTGGCAGAACTGACTGAACTGAGCTACATTCCCAACTCTTTTTTAAATTTTTGAGACAGGGTCTAAATTGCCCAGGCTGCATTTGAACTTGTGAGGCCCTGCCTTAGCTTGCCAGAGTGCTGGGTGTGTGCCATCATGCTTGGTTGAAATGTTTTAAATATAGAAAGTATTTTCATTATTATTATTGCTGTTATTATTATTATTATTTTTATGGTTCAATAGTCTGTTTTTCTGTTTTCAAGGTTACAAAAAGTCCTTTGCCATCAACATTGTAGATACATATTTATCTGTATGTTACTCTAACTATTCTGTAGGTTTTTAAAAAAGCACAATCTAACAATCCAGTAGGAGCCCATATGTGATACAGGTATGTTTCCCCTAATGGGTAATTAATTCACCCATGTATATTTTGTACACAGCTTAGCGAATGAATTAAAATATAGCAATCATCAGCACTAAATTTTTATGAAAATGCTATAGGAACCATTGGGACTCTCATGTCTTCCTCTGACTCATATACTCTTTCTTGGTACAAGAAGCATACTTTTTAATAATTGTAGGTTGAATTACTAACATCTTTATTCCATAAAACTATGGAAGCAATATACAGAATGTATAAGATGGTTTGATGCCCCACATCATAAGTTTCTGGTAATTTGCTTTTTACCATCAACTTTTTTCTGGCCATTCTTGCTAAACGAGCAAAGGTATTTTCAATGGGCTGTGGGATGGATTTTAGCAACGAATGAACTAATTTTGGGAGAATTATATCTTCTTAACATGACTTTTCTGATCACTGAGATACTTAATCTAGAGTCTAAAATCAGGTTTTAGAAAAAATTTGGTAATAACACTAGCATAGAAACAGACAAATCAGTGAAACAAGACTGGAATCCCAGGGTCAAATGTTAACTTGCATTGTGTAACCTCTAAACAATGATGACATATATTTGAGTTGCTTCCATGTCTTGTTTTATCATTTATTTGTCTATCTGCAATGCTTTGTGATTGTAGTCCTATAATATACAGTTCTAGGATATTTTGGTTCTCGACCTCCCTCACATTTTCCCACCAGTTTTAATATTAACAAAAATAGAAGAAGGAAAAAAAACACTAGTCTTATAATAGTATTTGGGATGTATTTGAATTTCTTCAGAAATAGGAAAACACTTTTTTTTTCTGTGTTTGGCTTTGAACCCAGGCCTTCTGCATGCTAGGCAGACACTACTACTGAGTTATATCTTTAGCAGAAATAATGAAAAATGTTAGAAATAATATATGAAAACTTTATTTTGAATCTTTAGTCAATTAATGAACTCCTAGATTCCAATTTCAGTGGCCAAATTTAAGGATGGCTCAACAGGGATATTTATGCAAAACTCACAGCTAATATCACAGTCAATGGTGAAAGACTGAAAGCCTTATTATTTAAAGTTAGCAAGCCATCTGAAAACGTAAAAGCAAAGCTTTTTAGTGTCAAGAAAGATAGAAAAAGTAGAGTCCTAGTACACTGCAGATGGGAATGTGAAATGGTGCAGCTGCTGTGGAAAACAGAATGGTGGATCCTTGGTTACTACATGATCTAGCAGTTACACTATTAGATATATACATACAATATGAATGTTCACAAGCAGCATTATTCACAATAGCCAAAAGACAAAAACAAACCAAACACCTATGTGCAGATGAACAAATATAATGAAATATTAGAATTAAAAAGGAATGGAGTCCTGATACACAGTACAATGTAGATGAACCCTGAAAACATGCCAATGAATGAATCCAGACCGAAAAAAGTCTCATGTTGAATGATGCCATTTATAAGAAATATACAGAATAAGTATATCCACAGAGATACAAACCAGACTGGTGGTTGCCAGAGCCAGAGGGAAAGGAACGTGGAGAGTGACTGCATAATAAAAATGAGGTTTCAGAACTAGGCAGAATCAAAAGCTATATAACATGGTGAAGACACTCAATGCCACTGAACAGCACAGTTTAGAGTGGTTAATTAATTCTGTGCTATGTGAATTTCACACTGATGAGGAAAATGTCAATGGTCATGGTTTCTAAAAACAGTCTATTAATTTCACTGTTAAAAAGCTGAGTTTTACAATATATATATATATATATATATATATATTTGTTTCATTCACATGAAATTCTAAAAAGGTGGAACTAATCTTTGGGAATAGAAAGGATATCAGTGGTTAGCTGGGGCAAGAAATGTGAGCTGACTACAAAAAGGCATGAGGGCACAGCTCCTGCCTGACAAGTATGAGGTCCTGAGTTTGATCAAAAAACCAAACAAGCAGAATCATACAGAGGGAATCATCCAGAGTGATGGCAGTGTTTTTTGTCTTGACAGTGATGGTGGTGGTGATGGTGCATACAAATCTACTAAAACTTATCAAACTACACTTAAAGTAGTTATATCTTATATTTTAATTAATTGTGGCCATAGGTAAAAGGTCTATCTGCTCAAGAGCCCAAATACTAGAATGATGACTAAATGTAGATGCTTACCAACTCTGGAAGAGGACAAATACTTCCAGTATTCATATACAATCCTTCTACTACAATGAACCGTCGTGTCACACGAGCCTTGCGAGGATTCTTTAAAAGAAAACAATCCAACATTTTACATTTCAGTTAACTCCAAATATGAAACCTATTATGTATGCCCACATCTCACAATATTTAATAAAAAATGGTCTGAAAGAGTTTGAAGCTCAATGTTTGAGATGCTACTATTCTTAGAGGAACAGTGACATATTTTCCAGTTCACAGCATTACCTAAGCCAGGAACTCTCATCACAGTAAATAAAAAGCACAGACAAAACCATACAAACTCAAAGCGAGTGAGATGGGCCCAGAGGGAACTTTCTGGGGAGATAAGAATGCTTAATACCACGATGAAGCACTAATTTCTGGGTTACGCGGTCAGAATTACATGGATAAGATATGCAAATTTCAAGGTCTGCATATATTTCCTAAAAAGAAACAATCATAATGAAGATCAAGATGATGATGATGATGACTGTTTCTCTGGTGTGACCGTCATTGTCATCATTATTGAGCTGGGTTGAGGAGCAGGGAGGGGTACAGGTGTATGAGACAGGCAAGATGCTAATAAAATGTTAGGAGAAGTGTATGTGGGCTGTATCACGTTACTATTTCCCTTGTATATGCTAGCAAATTTCCACAATCAAAAGTTACAAAACAGGCAATTCTGATCTCCCTCACCTACTAAAATAAAGTGAAACCTTTCTCCTTCCCCTCACTGACCTCCTGAGTCTAGTAAAACTCAACTTTCACCTTGCAAGGTGATGGCCACAGTGGTGGGGTAAAGGGCCCTATTAAAACAATATATAACTCCTCACACTGCTCACAGAAGGTCACTGATAATTCTCTCACAATTAACAATCTGTAGATGCTTCTTCCTGTGAGAAAACACTCGAGACAGAGAATTTACCACTAGCTTCCTACTCAAAGGTATCCCGCCTTTAAACTTCTACTGATAGACAATTACAAACTCAGGGATGAGAGCAACACTAAAATGAGCACTTTAAGACCACTACTGTAACATACCACACTAAGCTTGCTCATTCGCCTCATTCTCTCTGTGAGCTCAGAAGTGAAGGCTGCTGAGTTAGCAGCATGGATCAGTGGGGTCATTGATGAATAGAAGCCTCTGTATTTCCAGAAGGGCACATCCTGCCCTTTGCCTTTAAAAACATAAAACAGTTTCTTAGTTTTTCTTATTTTTATTTTCTGCAGAGCTAGGGTAGATCCCAGGGCGTTATGCATGCTAGGCAATCTACCACTGAGCCATACGCTAGCCAAAGAATTTCCTTAGGATTTGAAAATATTCAACACAATTTATTAAAGAGGCTATCATTCTTCCACTGAGTGGTTGGCTCCTTTGTCAAAGATGAGGTATCTGAGTACATCAGCAGCTCTTTCTGCATCTTCCAATCTATTCCACTGATTCTTGGGTCTTTATCTTTGCCAGTACCATGCTGTTTCTATCACAGTGGCTTTATAGTATAGTTTCAAGTTCGTGATTGTGATACCCTCTGTAATGTCTCTGTTGCCTAGAATTGCTTTTGCTATTCTAGGTCTCTCCTTGTACCAAATGAATTTTTGGCTTGTTTTCTCTAGTTATGTGAAATACACTGTTGGAATTTCAATTGGGATTGCATTGAATCTGTGTAACAGTTTTGGTAGTATGGCCATTTACTTGATTCTTCCTACCCAGGAGCAAGGGATATCTTTCCATTTTCTTATATCCATATTCTTAAGTGAAATAAATAGGACACACATGTGTAAATACCAAATAGTTTCTCTGCTGTGAAAAACTAAAAGTGTAAATAAGATCCAAATTGTATAACTGACAATGTGAAATAGGAAGAAAAGGGCTAAAGATGTAGGGGAAGTGGGAAAGGGAAAGGAAATAAGGGAAAAGAAAAAATATGAGAAAAGGAAAAAAATGGAAACAAAGTCTTTGTAAACACAGGAGGGGGTGAAGGGTATGGGGAAAAGTGAGAACCAAAATCTGTCTTGTAAAAGTACAAGATCCCAATGATGAATGTAACTGCACTGTACACCTAAAATATACCAATAAAGTCAATGAAAAGAAAATTCAATGTAGGAAGGAGCCTTGGGAAGCAGAAAAGTATGAAAAAGAATTTAAAAAATTGTATGGCTATATCATACAGCGATAATTTGTCTTTCTTGCACATATATATGTATAAACACATATTACTTAGTTCAAATCAGGATTTCACTGTAATAATTTTAAAAGTTGATTTAAATAATTATGCTGTAGGGCTGGGGATTTAGCTCAGTGGTGCTGCTGCCTGCCTCATCAACATAAGGTCCTGAGTTTGATCCCCGGTACCAGAAAAAAAAACAAAAAAAACAGAACTGCTCTGAACCTTTATACATTATTTAGTGCAGTAAAGCATAAGCAATTTAAAACATGATGATTTTAAAGGAGACATTGTATCTTGCAGATAAGCCACAAATTATTTATTCCACTAATGTATTTGTGTAGTTACTCTGTAAATATTCTTAAATTTTTGCCATTTCTAATAATTTTCTAATTACAACATGTCAAATATAGATCCAAAGGGGATATGTAAGGATCCTGGAATATACATGTCCGTTTTTACTCAAAAAATGTGCTGATTAAACTCTTTGCAGTGTTATAGGAATATCCTTTGTCATGGCACATCTGTATTGATACTGATTATTATTACTAAAAATGTGTTCTAATTTGACAGGGAAAATTTCCTTACTTATTAGGAAGGTATTTTTCCCTTGTACATAGTTATGCATAGTTCTTTTATAATCCCAAACTGGACTCATTGAAATATTTTCATATTCTTTCAAAGGAAAGAGTTGCCCAAGTAGTAAACATTAATAGATTATTTATGTGAAAATGAAACTGAAAAGGGATAGTCTAAAAGCCAAAACAGTATGTTATTTAGAAAGTCTAGGGCTGGGGATTTAGCCCAGTGGTTCTGCTGCCTGCCTCCCAAGTACAAAGTCCTGAGTTCAATCCCTGGTACCAAAAAAAAAAAAAAAAAAGTCTACTTGTGGCAGGAAAATATGATATAAATTAACTAGTAATAAAAGTAAAATTTCAAGATATTCAATTTCATTTCTTGGAGATGCTCATAAAAATGTTTTATGGATTATAAATCTTATAAAAACATACATGAAGCCTGAATGTGATGCACAATCCTAACTACACAGAGCAGACTAGTTGCCGGCCTCATGGGCATACTCTCCATAGCAGCAGCACTCCTCAGCTGAGTGGCTGAATTCTGTTAATGGATCAGAAGAGGGAATCTCTTTTCACTGGAATGGGTTTAATATTAGAATTTTTCCCTATAGATTTCTCTAAATTGTATAGAATGAAACATTAGCCTACAGCACATGGAGCATGAAATGTTCAGTTCATACATATTCGTCATGAGAATGTATATATTCATGAAGTACTGCTCCTGGGCTGACTTCTAAACAAAGATGATAGAATCCTGAATGAATAATGCAAATATTTTAGAAAAGGGAAATTATCACAAAATTAAGGAATGGGCTGAGCATTTTATAGGTCATTCTAGCTATAAAGGAGATGCATCAGCAAAGTCCACTTAAAATATGTTTCAGACAAAGGATGTGGTGACTAGGCTCTAGCACAGGTCACATATCATGGTGTCCTGGTGCTGAGTGGCAAACCAGAACTACGTTTTCTATTCATACTGTCAGGGGAAATAAACTATAATCCTAATAGTGATGCTTTCAACATGCTTCCTCAGTGCCATCCTCTAATCAGAACAAAGGAGCTGCTACTGAACTACCACTACCACCAAGGGCTCCACAGATTTCTGGGAATAAACAAGTGAAAACAGCTGCAACACATGAGGAGATCCTGTTAAGAGTAGTTGCTTCTCACAACTAGTGGCTGTTCAGAGGTCCAGGGTGAGGCTAGGCTAAGGAGAAGGGATTTCATTTTGCTCATAAATTAACACTTTAAGATCTGCTATTTTCTATTCCAGGTAGCTGGTACATGATTTATTGTGAAATGAATGCAACTAGATACAGCCTGTTAAAGCCCTAATGAATATGGGAGCTATTATGCAAAGTTGAGCATATATCTATTTACCAAGTGCATGCTATTTCTCTCTGCCCTCAATCTCCTTAGAATGCTGCCTAGAATAACTCTCCCAAAACCTGACATATCTAATGACGGCAACAAGAAGGCAATTACAATCACACCTGGCTCTTCAACATGAATACACCCTTACTTAATATCCAAATGTGATCTGTGGGCAAGTTCTCAATGACAAATTACCATTTCATTTATAATTTAGCTGGTTAGAGAGTACCAAAGAGCTGTATAATTTTCTTCAAAAGAATCGTACCTTTTGATCTTCAATCTCTTGTTCTTTTAGCAGACGCTCCAAGTCAGCCACATCATTATGATTAAATAACTTAATGTCACTACGTGAGGCCTGTAATCCTTTCTGAATAGCAAAGCAGGCTGCTCTATCTCTGCAAGGGAGAGAGGTGCACCAAATGGGGTTAAAGGGCCTTGTTAACATTCTCAGAAAAGGAATGTTACTTTTGTAAGTTGAGAAATCTCCAACTGTTAACAGGAACACAGTAAATAAAACATGTTTGAATATTTATGTATCCTGTTTGCTCTGCACTCTGCCAGTTCTTTATTTAATCTGTTCTAAAAAACATGCTGCAAATTCTAACCTCTCTGAAATCAGGATATATCTTTCTATGGATGGCCTATCAGTTTACTCACATACTTTTTCTTTCTAAGAAATACATAAAATACTACTGTAACTCCTCTGCTTTGATTCGCACATTACTCTGTCATTAATCTGCCATGAGAAGCAGTACTGGTGGCCCAGCTAGACTGGAAGCTTGGAAGCTTTCAGACAGTGATCATTCAACTATGGCCAGACACCACAGAAAACGCCATGGTCTCAAACTCACCTACAACAGCAGTGGCTGAGAGAGGAACCTAGACTGCAAACCCTGAGTACTACAACGAGGCAACCTGCATTCCTTCCAGAGAGGTATCAGAAAAGGCCATATAGTGAGCTGGGACTTTCACAAAGCCAGCTGGGAACAAGTGGACACTTCCACCCCCACACCACTGTGGTGTTGGTGGAGACCATGAGAGGAGCACAAACTTGCACCTCCCCACAGGCTGTAATGGGGTGTCAGAAGAAGCCTAGGGGAAAACTAGGACTGTAATTGCCCAGCAGCAAGAAATTCCTACCTCACTTGCAGTAATGGATCCTCAGTGGAGGTTGAGTGGGGTCCTGACATTGGACAACCCTGGAATGACTAAGGACAGAGTGTGTAGGTTTAGGTTGGCTGCAGGCAAAGGCCTGTGGAGACGGATTTCTCTTTCTAGACTCCTGTTTGTTTCTGAACAACACAACACACCCACCATGGATTTGGGACAAATTTGGGTTTGGAATGCCCTCTAGTGTTCAAACAGGGACACCACACACACCACCAGTAGACCTGCACTTGGGTGCCATTCAGTGTTGAAGTAGGGGAAGTGACTCCATGGTCAGAAAAAAAAACCTCTTCTAGCAGTCTTCCTAGGATTTCTGGAAAGGTAGGGACACACAACCTAGATTGGGAAGACTGTTATAAACTTCTGATGCTTCACTGTGCAGACACTATAGCACACTAACATGTATCAAGCACTTGTAGCGAACAACTTCACCAAAGAGTCAAAACAAGGTGCTGGAAACTAGTCAGGTAATAATCAGTATGAAAAAAACTCTCAAGATGGAGAATTTAAAACAGTGGTTGTAATAAACACTCAATGAGCTTGAGAAAAACAGTTTGAATAGTTATTTAATATTCAAAGAGAAAATTAACAAAGAGAAGGATACACTAAGTAAAATAAAAAAATTGACATAAAGCATGAAAAACAAAATAGATCAAAACAAAAGAGACAATGAGTAAGCCTGAAGGCAATATTTTGAAAATTCATTTGAAGGAGAACAAAGAAAAAAGGAATGAAGAGGAATGAAGAACACTCACAGGATATTTGAGCCAATATTAAAAGAGAAATATTTCATTTAATTGGGTTAAAGAAGGACTTGAGAATGTTGAAGGGTAGAAAGCTTATTCAAAGAACAGTAACAGAAAACTTTCCAACCTGAGGATACCAATGTTCAGGCACAAGAAGGACAAAGGTCATCGACAAGATTTAATGCAACCAAGTCTACTTCAAGACACACTGTAATCAAGCTCTCAGAGGTGAAAGACAGGGAGAAGAAAAATGGCAGAATGGTGAAAACCACCAGCACAGTTTTCCCAGGATAAAATGCCCAATACCTGGGAATAATCAACCTGAAGCCTCCCAAAAGGGTGCAAAGGATATACAAGAACATCAAGGGGACAGAGGAGAAGAAAACAGGATCCATTACTATAGAATTAATTACATAGAACAAAGACCCAACCCAGAGAATCAGTGGTATACCTGCCCCAGTGGGGATCCACAAAAACAACTCAGCCACTCACTGAAACAGAAACCTGGACCTGAAACAGGAGAGCCTTATACAACTGGAAGCAGCAGCAAAAATGCCAGACAATATTCCCCCTAAGGTCCACCCCAGAGGAAAAGAAAGTGGTAAGTGAAGCTCCCACTATCAGCAGCCAGGACCAGGTAGCCATTTGGGGCAGAGGCACAAACTTGAATTCCCATAGCCTAAAGGTGTTACATACCTCCATGACTGGGGGAGGGGGCAGAAGGGGAGGTGGGGAGGGAGGGAGGGAAGGGAAAACCCACGCAGACACCGTAGACTTCTGGCAGCTGGTCAACAGACTGAAGGAAATTAAGTTGGCAGAGACTTGGTACAACCAAAGTGAACGCCAGCTGGGTCACACCTGCCATTTGGGTAGAGGTGCCCCCCCCCACCATTTTTTGTTTTTGTTTTTGTTTTTTTGAAGGGAAGAGATATTCAGCCACAGTGGACTGCTAGCAGCTGGTCAACAGATTGAGGTAATTTCTGTTGTGAAACAGAGAATGAGTCCAGCCAAACATTCCTCCCAGGTCCACTCAGGGCCTTGACTACAAAGGGCTAGAGATACCCACTCAGCTCTGAGACCAGATACGGGGGCAGATTAGGGACCTTAGCTGGTGATAGGAAGAGGACACTCCTCTCTCCCATGCCCTGGGACAGTAGACACATACAAAAGGTACCACAGCAGCAGAGAGAGTTGTGTGGATAGAATCCCAGAGGGGAACCTTGGGCTACAGACATAGGGAAGACTGCTGATTGAGGAAAGTCCCCAGATCTCAACCCAAGAGGTTAGAAAGTTGAAGCCCAAAAGGAGAGTAAAGAAAGGCACTGAAGTGAAGACTCAGTAGACTACAGAGACTGGAGATCAGGGAGCTCAGTTTTTGGCCTTGCAGCCAGAAAGCAGCTTGAATCTCAGTGGAATACAATGGGCAAGATTATCTGACTTGGATCTGGAAGCTGCTGCCGATGTTGTCTACCAGCAACAGCAGCGATATACTTTGAAGGGGAACTCATTTTTCTTTTTCCTTTCCCCGCTTCTCTTCTTGTTCATTTCTCTCCTTTCTTGTTCCTGTTATTGTCCTATTTTTTCCTTTCTTTTGATTGTTCTTATTCTTATAGGAAAGTGAATAGTTTCTAGTTTGCCTGTTTCTGTTAAGTTTGTTCTATACTTATATTTGTTCCTTCCATCACTCTTTTCCTCTTGTTTTCACCAGTTTTCCAAAGTTTGTGTAATCTTCCTGTGCCCTCTAGCCCTAGTTCTAACCTCTCCCTCTCCTTCTATCTCTCCACCCTCCAAACCCAACTCTTTCTAAGTCTTCTTCCAGGAGGGTAAAGTCGCTACGCTGAAGTGCTTATTTACTATAAACATATTTCTGATTGGTCCTTAATTCTGATATATAACCACAAGTCTAGTTCATGTGGTTAAAGATGTCAGAATAACAGCTACCACCATTTGTCATTTTCTAAGCTGTGTGATGCTACTGTTGATGGTGATTGTATTACTTTGGCAGTGATGTGATTGATCTTAGACAACTGTCCTTCCTGGTATACCAAGACTCAGAGTGCCTAAGTGTCATTACAGACGCAAAGCCCAAAGGCCAACTATACCTGGAAAGACAATCCAAGATGTACCTATTCCCTAAGGATTCTAAATACTATCAAGAAAGATTCTTGCAATAAACATTTTACGAAGAGCAATCCAGGAATTAAACCAAAAACATCAACAACAAAAAACTGGAAATGAGAAGACACCTAAACAAGATGAAAATCCATTTTTCTGGATCAAAGGAAAAATATAGGGGCAAGAGACAGAACAATCCAAAACTCAAAACACCTGGACTCCCTGACCTGGCAATGAAAGAGGATTTGGAAAAAATGATATCAGAAATAATTTCTCAGATCACAACAAAGATGGTGACCATAGTGAAAGACCTGATTAATAACCCTAGAAAAGACACAGATAAAAAAATAAAAGAGCTCTAGAACAGGAACCCACAAATGCCCAACATACGAGGGAAATGGAACCCATAAAACATATTTAAATAGATACTCAGGAGTAAAAATTCCATTGAAAGTATATGCAGTAAAATGAGTCAATATGAGGACAAGGATATCAGATATAGCTGACAGGTTTGGGGTGACCAGGAAAAGAAAGACTTCTTAAAAATAGCAAAGGATCATGGAAAAACAATCCAGCAGCTACTAGATGATGAAAAGAAGAATAATATAAGACCTATCAGAGTCAAAGAAAAAGCAGGAGAGAGTGCAAATGACATTAAAAAAACAAAACAAAACAAAAAACTGTTCACAGAAGTAATGGCAGAAAACTTCCTGAGTAGGGAAAAAGAATTTGACATAAAGATAAATGAGACATATAGGACTCCAACTTGCTGTGATCAAAAAACACCTACACCTAGGCACATAATAATCAAAGAGTCAGAAACTCAACACAAGAACAAAATACTATAAGCAGATAGAGAAATTATTTACATACATACATAAAAAAGTGCCCATCAGAATCACAGCAGACTTCTCAACAGAAACCCTCAAGTCAAGAACAGACTAAAGTATTTCAAGCCCGAAAAGAAAATAACATCCAACCCAGATTGATGTAGCCTGTAAAACTTTCTAAAATCAATGGATAAATAAGATACTTTCACAACAAAGAACACCTGAGGAACTTCGTGAATACCAAACCGACACTCCAAAATATTCTACACAATATCCTAGAAAAAGACAATGAGGGTCACAACTCTGTGAAGCCCAACATAATGAAGGAATCAGACAAGACAAGAAATTAAATAGATAGGGGGGAAAATAAGTAAACAATAATCTATGTGACAGGAACCCGAAAAAAGCAGTGCTAGCTATCCTATTTGCAAAGTATATTTCAAACCAAAACTAATTAAGAGACAAAGAAGGCCACTACACCTTTGTAAAGGGAACAATATAAGAGGAAGAAATGACAATAATAAATATATATGCACC